GTCACCTGCCACGTGTGTTTTCCGTCCACCACGTCAGCTTCAATGGTAACGGAATTTGGTGAGTGATGGATGTGGTGCAACGGCAGAAAGTTCAGTGACCATTAAAAGACAATTTGAAGTTCAGTGAGTAAGTCGTGATCATGTTAAAGTTTAGTGACCATTCAAACATTTTACTCAGGATGGAGATAAGAGTCGAGCAAGTACATAGAGAGAATTTAATTCTCTTTGGCATGCCATTTAAATGATATCGTATTGATTATCTGGGCAATAGGTTGCTGTCCTCAATGCAATGGGTGAAGCGACTTCACTGCATACAAGTTGTAAAACTTAAGCCGGAAGTATGTAAAGTATCATCCGGCTTCACTCCAAGGCGACAAAAGGAGAAGTATGTCGTACCAGCAGGAAGATATTGAAATGAATATAGACGAACTATTTGATGGAAATGCAACTCCAACGGGAAAAAGAGTATAAATATATGACCATGGCAATAATCAGTTGCCCTGTAATTGAGAAAGTGAAAATGAAGAAGCCCTCTTGTTTCATGGGATGGGATTTGGAAAATTACAAGAATCTGAGCTGATTATTCGTAGATGTAGAAGCTTCTACATGTTTTTCCCTTCGTTTTGCTTACCATTTTTATTTCTTGAGATTTAGTATTTATTTGAAATCAGGTTTTGGTTTATGTAAATAGTAATTTTGGTGAAGGGAGAGGCGATGATGGTGGCGGCGGCGGTGGCGGTGGCCGATGGTGGACCCTTTTGGGAGGGCGATGACTATGATTTATAGGGTAGGGTAAGATAGGGTGAGGTGGGAAAGATAAAGCATTGTAACAAATGAAAGGTTTTGAGGAAGTCTAATACGTTTCAAAGGATTGGAATTTTTATTGTAATTAGTTCTTCATCATTTTTTCTTTTATTTTTGTTTTATTTAAATAAGAGAGTATATTTGTTATTTTAAGATTGTTATTGAAAAATTGAATGAAAATGTTTATTTTCACAATAAAATGTGGAAATACGGGTGAAAATACAAAAAAAAATGAAACGTATGGACGTTTTACGCAATGAACTTCACACATAAAGACATTTTGTACTAATAACCCTTATAAAAATATCCTATGGAATTTTCAAAATTTAAGGTAGATATTGGAGAACAAAAATAATTTTTTTTATAATTCATTATACACTCTTATCTTTTCAAGTTCTGCATAATAGATTCATGTTTAATTAAGGATCCCTAGGGTTCTTACTTTTTGTCCCATCTACTTATTGATTAGTTCATTTAACTAAAAGATTTTAAAGGAAAAATAAAATTATGTCGAAAAGTTTCAAAAGAAACAAAAAAATGTATTATCAAAAGTGTCATTTTCTAAAAATAATGAAAAAAGAATTCTTAAATTAAATCCAATTCTTTGAGGACATAAGCGCATAAATTTTACTTCTATACTTTTTGCCATGGTAAGAAACCGCACTTGTCTCTTACACACTAAACATGTAAGGTTGTGTCCTCATATAAACACATCAAATATGTAACCTAAGAATTAGTCCAAAAACTTGAAGTAAATTAGATCTACATACATATTCCATCCTATTATTCCATCTAGACATTGGCCAAGTTATATATACTTATATTGACCAAGTATTCAAGTCACAATAAAAGGCCATGTACAGCCTACGGATTTTTTAGTCGGAAAAGTAACCGGTTCCCATCAAATGAGTCGCCCTTTAAGTTAAATGCGAATTGAGCACCTCTGTTTTGAGAAGAATTCTACTTAATCAATTCTGTCAATAACCTCAGCAGGCATGTTGAGATCAATCATGCCATCCCCACCACTTCCTTTTCTAGCTCGTTTCCATGTTGAACGTCCACTATCGTCTGAAGTCCCTGAGGCTGATGGTTGATCTGATTCTATTGTACCTCCTGCAAAATGAGTGAGAAGGATCGATGAATCCGCCACCAGCAAATTATGCTACACAAGCAATGCGTGCAAGGTCAATATAACATATTCATTCCTCTCAGAAATCCATAATTCATAGTTGATCTTATAAACTAAAAAGCTCTCACCAGATAGGCCCTAGGCAATGCATATTGCTAGGCACGTTAAATTTTCAGAGAAGAATGTTTTAAGTAGCCAACAAAGATTCTAATAAAAATAATGTAAAAGTTCAATAAATACTTACACGCGATAGATAGCCTTAAGAGTATGGAAATTTTTTGAGCATTACTACAAATCCAGAAAGCATCATTATCAGCAATCCTTGGCCAGATAGATTCTCAACTATTATATTGCCAGTATTACAAATCAAAACTACCAACCAAAACTTGCATATTGACCGTAAAATTCAAGAAATGGATTTCACCCCTCCACCAAAAAGTAGCTCGAACCCAGGTCCTCAGCTTGGTAAAGCTTCATTCTTACGACTTGAGTCAGGCTAGGCTTTATTTGGCTAAAATTTAAGTGCTAAATTTTGAATGCAAAATAGCAAATCCTGAGCAAATTGGGAATCAGTATGGAGATCCAATTAATTGACTTCAAAGTCTTCCCCTCTGCTGATCTTTATGAGCAAGCCTCCGTTTGGCAAAAAATATAAATTATTTATAAATTCATTTCCAACCACACATTCTAATGAACCCACAAATAATACTTATCCACCACTCATCCGTAAATAGGTAATTAATTCTTCCCAAATGGAGGCTAAAATGTTAACATGAATAAGCAAATGGTAAAGATGGCACCTCCATAAAGATTGCTACCATAATGCTTCAAATTTTCCCACAAGCCATTTAAAGATTATCGACAATTTAAATGGGAGATATTTTTAAATATTATGAGAAACACTGCGACATTCATAGCTCCCAAAGCTTTTATTCTATTTTTTCCAACCCCTACCAGAACACCATATGCGATAGGCGAGTCCCATTTTTGTTTTCATTCCCTATGAATTAGGTGAATTAGGTCAGGACTTGGACTATATTTGACAATCCTTGATGACCAATATGACTTGTACTATTCATATCTCATTGACCAATCCACAATCAGAAATATCAAATACCTTACAGCAGAAAGCGACCTCCATTATCACAGAAGAGAACTAGACCTGAAAAGCACCATTTCCTAGTGTTTCATAATAAAAAAAAATACAAAGAAAATTTCGAACTACTTTACCATTGGCCTGATCATCTGCCTTTTGAAATATATTATTGCAGCCTGCTTGTGTGCTCCATCCAGAGGTCAGCTCTACTGCCCTTTCAACACCTTTTGACAGGTATGGAGCTATATTGTGAATACTAAATTGAAGAGAACCAAATAAATCATTCTCTATACAATCATACCTGCAAGGTTAGAAACAGTATAAGCTTATAATCCCCATAATATTTAAGCCTTCATAACAACTGAAACTCACATTTTTTTGCACAGGCTATCAGTGATCACTGATAGATTGATGACTTGCATCCTTATTTGCATAACTTGTTCATCAGGGTACCCGTCAAATGGCTCCTCAATAAATTTGGAAAGTTTTTCAATATTTGACTCAAGCTGCTGCTGCTGATCCTCAAATAAATTCTGCTTTATTTCTCTGTCCTTTTTTGTCATTTCATCCTTAAACAAGTCATCGCCAAACATGTAGAATGCAAAGGGGTATGAATATGAAAGAGCTCGCCTCGATCTGAAGAGCCTGTAAAGTCCATTTGTAACCCAGCTGAAATCTCTCAATTTCGAATCCCTTGCTTCCAAATTTAACACCTTCTCCCTCATGGTCTCTCTCAATCTAGATTCTTGCTGAAAAGAGTCTGTATGAGCTTTATAGCGATTATGATAATGCATGTATCTATAAAGGTCTCGCTTTGCACGTTCGGCCTTTTTCTCTCCATCTTCTTTATAGCGACCGCAGCTGTGATTAGCAATGTTTGACCAAGTATGGTCTCGGCCAGTAGCTCCACCACATAACCAACTACAGCAAGATGATTACAAGATTGTAAGGAGACAGAATTGACCATGAAAAGTAGGAATGTGAGTTCATGATATGTACACGAAAATAAGAAAATTAGGAGCATGTAATTCCTACTCTACTCAAGTAAAGCCCAAAGCACAACATTGACACATGAAAAAGTTGTATGATAAGAATATATACGAATCAAAAAAGTTAGAAAAGGGGTTTAAATTCACCAATGGCTACCAAACTTTATACTTAGTGTTACTATGACCATCCAATTTGATTTTGTTTCACCATGACTACCCAACTTTATATTTAGTGTCACCGTAGCCATCCAATTTGATTTTGTTTCACCATGATCACCCAATTTCATATAACGTTTCATCATGGCTACCTAATTTCATATAACATTTCACCATGACCGCCTAATTTCTTGTCACCATTTTCACTAATTTTAAAAGGGGTAAAACATAAATTTTGTATTATATATATAAAGTTTTTAAAAATATATTTTATTTTTTTAAGGAACTTTTTTTAAAATAGCTAATTATTTTATTTTTCTAAGTAACTTTTTTTTTAAAATAAGTTTTTATTTTATTTTTTGAAGTAACATTTTTTTTAAAAATAAGTTTTTATTTTGTTTTACTTTTTTAAGTAACGTTTTTTAAAATAATTTTTTTTTTATTTTTTTTAAATTTAATATATATAATGCAGAGTTACCGTTTTACCCATTTTAAATTTAATGAAAATGGTGAAAAAAAGTTGGGTGGTGAAATTTTATATAAATTTGGATGGCCATGGTGACACTAAGTATAAAGTTGGGTGACCATGGTTAAAGAAAATCAAGTTGGATGGCCATGATAACACCAAATATAGAGTTGGGTGACCATTGGTGGATTTAATCCTAGAAAAACCAATGTAACCAAGAGATATACGCAAGAAAAAGAATTTTAGGAAGGCAACACTTTCAATAGAAGATCATCATGATTTCACAAACTTGCAACTCTACTGGCCAAAAAAAGGGGGGACAAAAGCAAATGAGACAACATTGTCACTTAACCCCTATTTCTACCCCCGTCACCAGTACTAAAACTAAACATTGGGGGAACAAGAAAAGATTTTCACCAAAGAAATGGTCAAGGGTAATTACAATATCACATGCATATTATTTTATTTTTTTGGACTCATAATTTTTTTTCAATACATGACCTTTCCTAATATTTTGACGCATTAAATCGTGTCCAATCATTATTTAACCCAGGTACAGCAAGTGCCTCTGATTTTTCATTGACGCAAACCATAAGCTTCAGACAATTAGGATAAGAGGACAGCCTTTCTCATTCTGATGATAAAGAAGGAAATTTGCAGGAATTTGGATTCCATTTCACAGTAAGTTCTTGTTGCAATTTAAACTAAAAGGCTGGTCTCTATTTCATCGAAAAGAAAGACTTGTAGGTTTCACTGATGACAAGAATATGAAACATCAGCTCTTTGTTGTCAGGAGAAAAGTTCTAGAGAAAGTGCAAAATTGGAATAGTGGCTCTAAAGAAACCCCACTTACCTCACCACCGCACACAAAATAAATAAATAAAGAGAGAAAATTCCCCAGATAACGAAAAATAACATAAAAAGTAAAGAAAAAAGAAGAACATATATAAAACCCGAGATAGGTACTGGAATCGAATCCACAGGAATATACCTTATGATCTAAAATCTAGGGCATTAAATTGACGTAGAATTTATACAAGCATCAGATCACTTGATTGGGTAGAGAATCATTTCCCACTAGCAGCTTATGCCAAATTGCCGATGAGCATTTAGTTGCACAAAAAAGAAAGGTTCATAAAAAGAAGTACTCTTACCAAAATGCTTGCCCACAGATACAACTAACCAAATTACAACCACCATTCTTCTCCACAGGTTTGTGACACTTAGGACAAGGCTTTGTATGTACAGTAATCCAATTAACCGTCTCTGATTCATCTCGGCATTTCTTTGTCCACAGCTTCCACATCAAGCATGAACAAGGGGAATGGGCTTCTGATAAGCAACTGAAACAGAACTGTGAACCACAAGAACATTCTACCTCACAAAATTCATCATTTTCTACCCGTAAAGCGTTCCCACAATGAGGTATACTCGGGCACCATTTAACCATTTTGTTGTCTTCGATGTATGACTCAAGAAGAAATCGATCGAATTTCTCTGCTAAATCAGGGTGTCTTTTACTAACTAGTTTTCTAACAACAGCTTCGTCGCATATAGCATTGCATTTGTGGGCCATGCACCTAATCCGCTTGCTCTGGCCCTCCTTTATTTTGACAATGAAATGCTCTGTCCAACCTGAACAGAATTACGCAGGTCAAAAAGAGAACTAAAAATTTCCCACGTTACAGTTAAAGAAGTAAAATTTGGAAAACAAAATTCTTATGATTAAACAAAAGTGACACTGCTCAATCCAAAATGTGCAGAACGAAATTTCCGTGTAAGTTTATGATGCATATCAAAACCGCATAGAAGAATAGCAAAGCACTTCCATGCATGGTTGTCAGAATTGTATTTTTGGATCGGATCGGTGGAGGGGCTTGCAAATTTGATAGGTGTATCAGATCGTAAATCGTAATATTCTACTAAATATTGCTTTAAAAGGAACACAAAAATGAAAATAATTTTTCAAACTAATTAATAACTATTAAGTCAATAATCAGCTTAAAACAGATAATAAAAGATAGCAAACAATTTCAAGTACTTTATAAATGATTCGCCAAAAAATTGGTAATGTACAATTAAAATGACTAAAGCTCAAATCTATGAAACTGAAAAATGGAGAATTTTGATGAAAAATTAAGAACAACTTTTGTTCATCAATACATCTACTGAAACTGTATATTATATTCTATAAAAAGATGAAATTATATCTTATAAGCTATAACTGAAAATAAATCATCATTTTCTCTTTGTAGTTTAAAAAAAAAACTTAAAATTGAAACACGGCCCAAGCCCAAGTTTCATGCAATCAAGCTGCACCTACTACCTAGCAACCCAGTCCAATCGTTTCAATTTTTTATTTTTCAATTTTTCGGCCCCATTTTACACTGAATTCATGGAATTGTTGGAAACGCAAGTATCGTACGATTCTGTTACAATTCCAATCCAATTCTATCAAAATACGATTTTGTGTACGAATTGGATCCATTTTTCTTTTTGGGATAGTACAATCGTACAATTTCAGCCACCATGCTTTCATGTAATGGATTATATTTTCATTATTATAGAATAGATGCCTAGAACAAGGTCCAACTAAGGGGGTGCTTACAGCTGTTGCAGAAGAAATGGCCACAGTCCATTTTGCTCACATCACTAACAGGCACATCATCAATACATATATCGCACATAACTGTAGAATACGACTCTGGTAAATCAAGGTCAACAGCTCCAACCAGAGTTACACCTGCTTCAGCAAACATGCAAGCTTTCCCCTTTTCCACATAAACGGCACTTAACTTATCAACATCCCAGCGGTAATGAATAAGAAGAGTTCTGGCATGGTGTTCTCTCACAGATATTAAGTCCATTACTCTTTGCAAATCTTCCCTCTGCAAGAATGAGGAAAAAATACGTCAGTACCTTGAACGCGTGCATATAGTTTCCAGAACAACAAATGCATGATGTTAATACTGAACATGAAAAGAGAAACATGAATTTTTTTTTACCTGTGCAGCCAAGAGAGACTCTTTCGTGATTACCTGCAAAAGGCACAACAATGATCAGAAAAAAAGGTAGAAAATCTAAAGATAAAATAGGTGATCCAACAAAATGCAGTAACCTAGAGTTCCACTTAAAATTGTCAAGTACAAATTACCCAAGAGTGGTCTTAAAAGGATGGTGCTAGTAAAAATAACCGTGGTTTATTTGGCTAAGACGATTGTATTCGGGTCTTAACAACAAAGCAGCCAGGCGAAAAAAATGAAACCTAAAATCCACAGCAATCAAATTTATCTGAACAAAACAAGAATTTTCACCTAAATACATAAGATTAGCCCGGCTTCTCTGCACACTCATTTAACCCATCAAAAGAAGCAAATCTTCTCCCAAAAAAATCCATTCGTATAACAGTTCGAAATCACAGAATCGCCTTAAAAAGGTCGATATCACAAGTCACTCAAAAATCCAAATTTGCAATTTATAAGGTGAATATTTCCATGGTATAAAAAAAACCACAATTTTTTTTTTTTTAAATACACATGATAAAGAGGAAAATAATTAAGGTGAGGATAAGATCAACATTCTTCTTCGCAAACTCGCTTAACCCATCAAAGAACCAAACTTTCTTAAACAAACCCAAAACTCTGTACTTGTAACCTTTCGAAACTACAGAATCTCCTTAAAAAGTTAGATATCAAAGTCACTCAGTAATCCAATTTCCAACTTTATGGTGAAGATTCATATGCTGTTTCAAAAAAATAAATAAATAAATAAAAAGAACACACATGATACACAGAGGAAAACAATTAGATTGAATATACATAGAATTCAGTGAGCTCTATAACTATTCGTACTGAGTTCAAAACAAAAGACATAATCGACAAGCATTCACATTTCATACTCAAAATTTTAGGTATACAATTATATGTAAATACCTTGCAGGAAGGGGATTTGGACGGGGCCCACCGAGATTCAGAGTCTTCATTTTCGATCCCGTCGATCGATTCTTGGCCCGAGGAGTAATAATAATCATCTTCGCTGCCATTCATATAATCCTCCATCCTCGATTATTAGTTCCTTTATCCTAGGCGAGTATTTGTAAAAACAGATGAGTGTCTTCAAATTTGATGGCTTTGATAGGCTCTTGCCGGAAATAATCGGCGAGATCGAAATGAATTTCCCGGCTAATTACGCCGGCGATACAGAGTATAGACAGAGACTCAAAAGTTTTCAATTAAAAAAATGTGATTTTTTTTTTTTTTTTTTTAAGCGGCTTCTGCTTTTTGGTGTGAGGAGGACAAGTTTAGTTGAGACTTGAGAGTGTACTCTTGAAAATCTGGGCCTTTACGTTATCGTTGAAGAAAGTGGTTTGCAAAATGACCCGAATACGTTACGGACTAGAACTCGTTTGCCTAACCTTACGTTACTCTATATGTACTAGCATATGCACATGATCGGATCTACGATATTCTAGAGCAAATTCTCGCAATATTTCAACTATGTTAACTTCATTTTTATAGAGAAAATTAGAAAGATATTTTCTATTATATTTCTTTTGTTAAAAGTACACGCATTTATAGCTAAACAAATAATAAGATTAATAAAAATGAAATGATATACAATTATTTAGCAACGGCAGCAACTTGATAAGTATATCAACCAGTTTATCACTAGAAGATAAGTAGGAGACAACAACTGAACCATTTGTTACATGATTTCAAACAAAGTGGTAGTCAATAGCAATGTGCTTCATCGGGGAGTGAAAGACCATATTAAAAGATATAAAAGTAATCCCAATGTTGTCACAAAAATGATAGGTAATTGGGGATAGTTGCACTCTAAGTTCTAGGGGTAAATGTTTAATCTAGAGGACCTCAGTTGAGTATGAAGTCGAGGCATAGTACTTAGCCGCAATAGAGGATTGGGCAATAGTTTTCTGTTTCTTGAAACACCAAGAGACAGAGTGCCACCAAGAAAGATAATGTACGCTGAATTGGAGCTATAATCATCGACATTTCTAGTCCACTTGGCATTAATGAATGTTATTAAGCATAGAGTGGAGCGTTTCTAAAGTAGGAGACCATGATGGATAGTGTGTTTGAGGTAGTGAAGGATACACTTGACAGCAGTTGCACTTTATAAATTGAGAGAGTTTTTTAATGGCAAAGGACACATCAGGATGGGGAAGAAAGAGATACTAGAGACCACCAAGAATTTGACGGTAGAGAGTGGCATCGATGGCTAGAGACCCATCATGGAGAGTAACAGAGATACTACTGGACATTGGAGCGGTATATGGTTTTGGGACCGTCATTTTAGATTGGGAGATAAGATAATGTATTTAGCTTGAATGAGAAACAAGCTATAAGGTGAACGAATGGCCTTAACCCTGAAAAAGTAGTCAAAGGCCCCTAATTTTTTTCAAATGACAAACAGAAGCAGGAAATTGTTCATCAGGAAAACCTCGGGGCTAGCACATATACACTTAGAAATAGAACCTTAAAAAAAAGGCGTTATTGACGTCAAGTTGTTGAATACATCAGTTATTGCTTATGTCTAAGCTTAGGAAGATATGAATTGTTGTGCGCTTGACTACAAGATTGAAAGTGTCATGAAAATCATCACCCAAACGTCAGTGAAATGCTGTAGTCACAAGTCGGGCTTTGTCTTAAGAATATAGCAGGCAAATTGTAATTTCATTCCATGATTTTTTGGACTATACAAAGGGCCCTATTTATAGCTATTACACAAATGATTGGTATAGTTAACAAATCAAATAATTATTACAAATCTCCTATGATTTCTCCTATGATTTTATGCTGATATAGTTGCCTAAATTTTGGATGATTTGGTCAACTATTTCATCCTCAAATTATTTCATAATCTTCAACACTCCCCCTCAAGTTGGTGCATAGATATCATTCATGCCCAACTTGGCCAAAAATTTTATGAATGTTTGACTTGAGACGGCTTTCGTGAGGATATCTGCAAGTTGATCTTCAGATCGAATGCTAGGCAACTCCATAATATTTTCATCAAGTTTCTCTTTGATGAAGAATCTATCTACTTCAACATGTTTTGTTCGATCATGCTGAACTAGATTGTGAGCTATATCTCTTACTGTTTTGTTGTCACAATACAATTGTTTAGGTTACATACATGGATAGTCAAGATCTTGTAGAAGAAGTCTTATCCATAATGCCTCACAGAGCCCTAATGATGTTCTTCTGTATGCTGCTTCTGCACTAGAGCGTGCAACAACATTCTGTTTTTTACTCCTCCATGTAACAAGGTTACNTGTTTTTTACTCCTCCATGTAACAAGGTTACCCCCTACAAAGGTAAAGTATCCTGAAGTAGATTTTCGATCATCTATTGAACCTGCCCAATCAGCATCTGTATATACTTCTATGCTCCCACTTTCTGTGTTTTTTGAGAACAAAATTCCCTTTCCAAGAGCAGACTTTAAGTACCTCTGGATACGGATGACTGCATTCATGTGTTGTTCTCCAGGGTTATGCATAAATTGGCTAACAACACTTAGAGCATAGGCTAGATCAGGTCATGTGTGAGCCAAGTACATCAACCTTCTGACAAGTCTTTGATATCTCCCTTTGTCAACAGGTACTTGATCATTTTTAATACACAATTTTATGCCTTCTTCTAGTGGAGTATCAACTGGTTGACATGCTGACATACCAGTTTCCTGTAATAAGTCTAAGGCATATTTTCTATGAGATAAGAAGATTTCCTTACCAGATCGAGGCACTTCTATCCCAAGAAAATATTTTAACTGGCCTAAGTCTTTCATTTAGAATTCTCTAGACAGGTACTCCTGTAAGGCATTTCTTTCTTCTGGAGAATTTCCCGTGACAATCATATCATCTACATAAACAATGAATGCGGTAAGCTTTTCTTATTTTTTCTTCAGGAATAAAGTATGATCAGAGTTGCTCTGTGCGTAACCAACTGCTTTCATGGCACTTGTGAATCTTCCAAATCATGCTATTGGGGATTGTTTTAACTCATACAGTGATTTATGCAACTTACATACCTTCTGCCTTTGTTTCTCTTCCATCTTGTATCCTGGTGGGAGTTCCATGTAGACTTTTCTAACAATTCTCCATGTAAAAAGGCATTCTTCACGTCAAATTGTTGTAATGGCCAATCCAAGTTGGCAGCTAGAGACAACAAGACTCACACTGTATTAATTTTGGCTACAGGTGCAAAAGTCTCATTGTAATCAATCCTATATGTCTGAGTGTAACCTTTGGCGACAAGTCTTGCCTTAAAACATTCGATTGTGCCATCAGCTTTATATTTCACGGTGTAAATCCAGCGACATCCGACAATGTTTTTTTCCAGGGGGATGATACACAAGTTCCCATGTTTCATTCTTCTGCAAGGACTTCATTTTTTCATCCATAGCAACTTTCCACTTATGATCAGTTAAGGCCTGCTGCACATTGTTAATAGATACAATAGATAATTGATTTACCAATGCTTTATTGATTCAGACAAATGATGGTTAGACACATAATTACTCATGGGATACCTAGTTTTAGTAGATAAATCTGGTTCATATGTGGGTTTAGGAATACCTCTGATGTGACGATGGGGTAGTATCTTTTGACATGGTTCGTGGACATTCTCAATAGGCAATTGGTGTGGTATATCAAGTGCATGAGTGATTTCTTCTAGCTCTGGTTGGGGAACATGTATGCCTGTGATTTCTAGGTGTTTGTTACAACTTTGTTCTAAGGATATACCACTTATTTTCAAGTCACCCATTGTTTCACTCTCAAGTTCCGCCTGTGAGTCACTACCACTTGATTCCAAGTTTGTACCACTTATATCCAACTGACTTTCATCAAAACTCAAGGTAGGAATATCATAGTCCAGAGTCTGAACTTCTGCATGATACTCTCCCCGAACTTCAGACTCATGCAAAAAATACATTAAATGTTCATGAAATACCACATCCATTGTGACGTACAGTCGTTGTGTAGGGGATGATAGCATCAGTACCCTTTTTGGTAAGTCCCATAGCCAACAAAGACACATCGTAATGCACGAGGAGATAACGTGTGTCGTTGATGTTGTGGAATGTGAACATAAGCAACGCATCCAAACACTCGTGGTGGCAGATTTGGCATTGTTGGTGAAACTACGGCTTCAGTGAGAGCTTGGAGTGGTGTTTGAAAGTTTATGGAGCTAGAGGGTACTCGATTGATTAGGGCTTCCCCCCAGTAGGACAGTGGCATGTGGGCTTCTATCAACAAAGCTCGCACAACCTCAAGTAAATGGCGATTCTTTCGTTCAGCTACTCCATTTTGTTGTGGTGTATCAGGACAGGTGGTTTGATGAACAAGGCCATGATTCTCCAAATACTTTTGAAGTTCTGAACTGTTATATTCCCCCCATTGTCACTACGGAGGACTTGGATTTGAGTACGATACTGGGTTTGAATACTTTTATGAAAAAACTGAAACAATGAGTTCACTTTAGCCTTAGTCTTCATTAAACAAATCCAAGTCCTTCGTGTGCAATCATCAATAAAAGAAACAAACCAACGAGATCCTCCAAAAGTGGGAATTTTGGATGGTCCCCAAACATCAGAATGAATAATCATGAAAGTCACTGGACTTTTATTTAAATTTAATGGAAAAGAAGTACGGTGACTTTTTGCCAGTTCACAAACTTCACAACAAAAGCTAGAAACATCAAGTTAAGAAAATAAGCTGGAAACAGTTTTTTTAAATAACCAAAAGAAGCATGACCCAATCGTCGGTGGCGCAACCAGATTTTTGTTCTCCTTTTTTCCTTCTCGGGATCCCTTACTGTTAAGGCTTGATGTAATTTGGCTAAATCAATTGTCCCCAAGTCCAAATAGTACAACTTTCCGCGCTTAATACCACAACCAATCGTCTGTTTTGTCTGAATATCCTTGAACACACAATGGTTAGACCAAAAAATAACAACACAAGATAAGGTAGTGGTTATTTGTGAAATCGATAATAGGTTATAATTTAATGATAGAACAACCAAAGCTGAATCTAAGTGTAAAGTATTAGAAAATGTCATGGACCCTTCCCCGGCTACATGGATAGTGTCACCGTTGGCAGTAGACACACAATGTTGTTGAGGTGGTCCAAGAGTGGAGAGTTGTCTAGCATCAAATGTCATATGATCAGTAGCACTAGAATCAATTATCCATGCATTATTCGAAACAGGTAGAATATTTAAGACCTTACCAGGAGTGTTAGTAGTGGTGACCAGGGCAAATGAGGAATTGGTGTCCTTTTCTTCCTTTGTTTGAGCAATTGCAGCTGTAGACGGTCTCCTGAAATTTCGATGTTTAGTTGGATCCCACCAATCTGGATATCCTATCAACTCAAAGCAGGGACTCTTGGAATGGCTTAATGATTGCAATGAGTGCACTTGTAGGTCTGTTTGTCTAGATTGTTTGAGTTCTTTTGATTGTTAGTCTTTAGCCGATCATGAGATGTTGTAGTAGAGTGTTGGTGGGTGACTAAGGCAGATGATTCTGATTTTTCAACCTCCTCATTAAATGTGGCTGAGCGTATGACTTCACGACGTATTATGGAATAACATTCTTCCAATGTTGGGTTTTTCTCTAGGCGAAGTATTTCTCTCCGGATTTGGTCAAAAACTTTATATAACCCATTAAGAAATATGTGGACTCGGAGTCGCTCAACAGATTTCTGGTATGCTGCAACATCTTCAGGGTCTTTCACGATGACCTAGTCACGATGGTCTAATTCTCGGAATATCTCTGTTAACTCTCCGTATAGACACAGAGAGTTTTTCCATTTTGCTTTGCTGTAAAAGCTCGCTGGTTCAAAGAAAACACTTGCATCTCGTCGCTCCCATCGTAAAATGCCTTAGAGAGAGCACTCCATATTTCATGAGATGTTGCTATGTGGATATAACGCTTCATAATATCAGGAGACATAGACATTAGAAGCCATCGTTTGACTTTTTGATTTTCCGCATACCACTTCTCACATCCGACATCGGTCTCAACCGGTGGCTTTGTTTTTCCTCGGATGTACGAGAGTTTTTCTCATTCAGCTATATACATTTCCATCAACTGGGACCAGACATCATAATTTGATTCAGTGAGAAGAATGCCTGCATTAAAGGCACCTTCAGACTGAATAATCACATGAGTTGATTGTTTCTCACTCATTTTTTGTCTGAGGCGCCGACCCTATCTTACACCTTCAAAAGTGGCACTGCGAAGGAAGACACACCAATCGATGAGGGGAACGACAAATGGATCGATGAAGTGGGTCAGTGCTGCAGCGTGTCGGCAACAATGGCTTACGAGTGTGTTCAATTACTATCAACAATGGCAGCAGGTGGGTGGAACAAACAGCGGTGGTTTTTGGTTTGATTTGTTTTGGGTTTTATTTTGGTGTTTGGTTGGATTTGATTTTTCTGGGTTTGGGCGATGCTGCCGATGCAAAAGATTTGTAGATTTAAAAGGTAAGTGTTTTGGGTTTGATTGGTGGAATTTTTTTTTACTATTTTTTTTCACGGATCGAACTCTGCGATTGATACCATCTTAAGAATATAGCAGGCAAATTGTAATTTCATTCCATGATTTTTTGGACTATACAAAGGGCCCTATTTATAGCTTTTACACAAATGCTTGGTAAAGGAAACAAATCAAATAATTATTAAAAATCTCCTATGATTTCTCCTATGATTTTACGCTGATATAGTTGCCTAAATTTTGGATGATTTGGTCAACTATTTCATCCTCAAATTATGTCATAATCTTCAACACTTTGTACCTAGATATAGAGCCATAAGGATTTCGTTTGACTTGAAAAATCCACTTGTGGCAACATCATTTTTGGAGACAGAATGTGGAACGAAATTCCAAGTGCCATTTTTGAAAAGGACATTTAGTTAATTAGCCATTGCCTGATGCCAGTAAGGCATCTTATATGCGTAGGAAACACGATGGTTCAGTAGAGTCAGGCAACGGATGGTTGGAGATAGTGGAATGGAGAACTTTTGTATAAAGTATATTGTTTTCAGATTGAGTGACCATGGTGTTAAAGTCGACAAAGGAAGGGAAAGTTGAACAGAACTCGATGGTCAGTTATTCAGAACATTGGATAGAGCGAGATAGAGGATTAAGAAGATAGAGGGTCAGATTGGTTGGCGGATAGAGAAGATAGAGGTCCACGAGCGTGCTCCACGGGAAACAACTCCCTATGGTGTAATTAAAAGATTTTTAAAAAAATGAAAAAGTTCAAAATACAAATGTTGAGAGAATTGGTTAAACACTCGGTTGCACACTCTTGAAAAATTTTGGGACCCGAAGTGTTATTGCTCCTTGGCCCTTGCGTGGGAATAATTTTTTGAAAATTACTTTTCCTGCACTCATCTTAACCACACAAGCTTAAAACAAATAATTATTTTTTCACCTTTTTCCATAACTTTTCATACTTTTTAACCACACATCATCCAAAGGGTGCTTAGAGTTATTCATTGTAGCGTTCACATACCATGAAATCTGTTTACATTTTGAAGTGACCTACTAATTAATTTGTGTTGTTTAATTTATCATTTGTCAGTTTGTATCATTCACACTGTCAAACTGTTCATTCTTTGGAATTAAGAGATAACGATCAACAACTTCGATAACAGCAAAAAGAATAAACTTTATTAACAGCAACATTCTCTCCAGCAAAGATAAATTACACACAATCTAAACATCCATAAACATATCTGCAGCTTCACTTATTTTGTTTTGGGGTTTGGGAGGGATATTGGTGCCTGCAGAAACACCCTAGAGGTCTCTATTGACCTAAAATATACAACCCCATGACTAGAAATTCAACTCTTATCCAGAAATCAACTTCAACAAAGGATCAGATGCATAACTATGGCGAAAACGAGAATTGCAATAAACATCTTCCACAAAAGCTGTTTCCCATCAACTTGATACGAACGATAATGAAAACCATGAGCATAACCCCCATGAAACGAGCCAGAAAACAAATACGGAACTCCAGAAGTGGCTCCATATACAGTAGCATCATTAAATCCATGCGAATGAAAGTTAAAAAAGGCTGGTAGGGAACCAAAAAATGTAGATAGTGTCGAGTGACCAAACCTTGCTATGGGATCTGACTCAGTGTGCCGGAAATAGTTTATATCTACACGTGGAACTGTTTCTGATCTCAGCCCCATGGGCCGACTGGGAATAGTAATGGGCATAGGTCGTGATCTTGGATCAGGGCTTGTTCTGCCCCTGCCATATATAGGAACTAATTTCTCCTCCTGTACAAGAGCCTTACAAACCGGGCATTCATGGGAATGTGAATGAACTTGAAGCCATTGGTAAAGACAGGGCCAACAATAAAGGTGACCGCAGAGTGTAACGATTGGATCTTGTGCCAATTCGAAACAGATATTGCACTCAAAGTTTCCGGCATCTAACATTTTATCAGCTGAAGAAGAGGGATCTGTTGACTCAGCAATCCCCCAATCCATATTTGTAGCCATAGAGCCTCGAACGCTTGCCTGTTCATTAATCCCAGAACAAAAACAAAATAAATTATCCCATTTTATGATAATTGGAGGATCCTATATCACCAAGAAGAAATAACTGCCAAAGTGAATCAAGGAAAAAAAAAAATAGAGATGTATTCTCCAGAACAGTCAACAACACACCATCATTGATCAATCACGAAACAAGTCAACCCATACAAATCATAAGGAATAGAAAATCCATGTCAAAGTACCGACAATAAAATTTTCTAGAAAACCGAGAATTAACCCTTGCTGTCATACTTCAAATCATAATATATATATGCTAGTTCATCTTGGGAGAGATTGGGCTTCAAAAAATAGTGAATCATCTTCTCAATATGCAAATGTATAATTCCCAGAAATTTCAATTGAGCTCACATACACTTTAGGGATTGGCTTCAAGCTATTCTCAACTCCTTTCCACCAATGGACTCCTCAACATATATGAAGGTGTGTGATTCATTGGAGAAATTCCAACCTCTCTACCTATGTGTTGTGTAAGGATTTCTCAGAAATGACATGCTATCTTCACTCGGACTACGTTTATAAATTTACTTGAACAATTCCAGATAATATCCTACCATTAGATATCACGCTATTGCCCAAACCAGAAGAAAAGTTATAATAAGATGGCCAATGAATCTAATAACGAGGAGAACCATGATGTCCATTTCTTCAAGAAACAGAGAAGCACCACTGATTAATTCAGTAGAATAACTTTTTGCTCAACTAGTTTCAAAAAGGTTAGATTTTACTCTAATTTCTTGACAATGTAAACCGTGTATTTATCGATTAGAAGATCAACCTCACATAGAACTATTAGCTAATGAACAATCCATTCTGCCAGAAAAAATAAGTCTACTGCAAAATATGGTCTGTGACTCTGTCGCCAATAAGCAGAAAATTATATAGAAATATTCTGAATATTCAATAATTAACCCCGAAAAATCAATTATCTACCTTTAATTAACAAATGGAACGCAGTAAAAATATTCTAAAGCAATAAGAAACCCTAATTGCTTATCTAATCTTGAATTAATTATAAACCCGCGAAGCAACCATCAAACTGAAACCCCAGTATCTCAAAAGTATCTTCAGTTATCACAAAAAAAAAATTGCAACTATATACCCAAAAAAAAATTTAAAAATTTAAAAATTCACCCTTCGACTCGATTCCCACAGTATACACAAATTACTCTTCATCGCTACCACCAACCATAATTGAATGTAAAAATTATTGCAATACAATGTATGCCCACATCAATGGCGTCTCCCGTATGGGGGTGGAGTGGGTGCCGCTTACCTTGTAAATGGAGAATTTGTTGGACGATTGGAAATTGAGAGGGCAAACGCAGGTGGACGGTAGATTCCTTTCCTTCTGGTAAAATCCAACCACCATTCCCATTTATTGCTATTTCTGTAATTTGCAATTTCCATTCTTACCCACGAGCAATAAACTAATTTTCAAATGTACTTTTCTTTTCTAAAATAACTTTTAAACACAAGTTAAACTTACACGGTGTGACAAGAATGTATACAAGGTTTGGATGCAAATTGCAATGTAAACATACTATTTGTTGATATTGAATGAAATTACTTATTTCAACTGTCCAAAAAAGAAAAGAAAAGAAATAATAATAAAAAAAAAGCATATTTCTTTAGTGTGTGTATTTAGTGTGTGTACAATGACATTTACTTCACACTATTTTAGGTTGCAACTGAAGTCGGGAAAGATCCCGGCAATGTTTGAAAGCATTGGATTATGCCTTCCGACACATGAAAACTATAATTTTCATATTCGGGACTCTACTAATTTATTTTACGTCTCGATCGTCGAAGCATCATTTAGCAACGAATGACGCAGAACCATAAGATTGGCAAAAGGACACCATTGTATTACCACATGTTACAAAATGAATATTTGCGCCTCGAATTTAGAAGAGTGTCTAGTCCAAAAATATGCTCCAACCACCGAGACTCCTATCAAGGAATTGTAGACCTGCAATCACAAAGCAAAAAGCAATTGGAAGCCTCATCCAAACGACGACATTAGAGGCATCAGACATATATGCCATTTAAGTGCAAATTTTGGCACGATCAACATATATTTCAATGTAATAAAATTATGCGTGCACATAACAATTGCGTGACAAATGTCACCAAAGCATAAATCTTACAAGAATCTTGAAAATTAGACTTAATCATAACTTCCAAAATAATACTAAAAAATATCAACTCACAAAAATGACTAGAAGACTTCTAAAAATTGTCTGCAAATAGGATAATTTACACAACTAATAAGATTTTTCCACTCTAAAAAGGTCGCTTCGCATCAAGGCACAATTAAGGGTCGACACTCTTATCTTAGTCTTCTCCAAAGATTTCCATCCAAAATAACGCCGAAAACCCCGTCATTCTTTTCTACTCAGAACTTGCCCCTAGCATTTACTACACAACTAAACCTACTAGTTTCATATGTTTGATTTATACGAAACTTGAATTGTTTTGACTATAAAACAACTAAATCTATTCTCGAAAATTTACAAATTTGCTAAACACCTGAATTGTCATTGATAGACAATCTTGAAAATTCTAGCACAATTATGAGTGGGAAATAATGTAATGTTCAGGGGCAGAGCTAGGAATCGAAGTCA